AACAAACTGTTTATCATCTACAGACTTCAAAGATGAAAATGATTTCAATAAATAATTTGTCTAGGAAAGTTGTCATTTTTTTTTTCTTTAACCAAAGTAGCATAGTTGAATTACAACATAAAATAATGAGTGCATTTTTTGTAAATATAGAAATTACTTATCACCATAAAATTTTTAATGGCATAAACTTTTCATTCTTTGAAAAGCTTACAGTATTTACCAACATGCCCCCTTGGTATATGAGCATGAAGTTCCCACAATGGAGTAAAAAAGAAAAATGTTATTTTGCAATTTATTTTTGCAGTATAGGAAGAAACTTTGTAATGCATCTTTTTCCCAAATTCATATACAGAACGAGTTCTAGAAAAAAAAAAAACAAAATCGAAAAAAATCTTCTTTGATCGTGAAATATGCACTCTCTAGATTTTATGAAATCACTCCCCTTTCTCTATGGGGCTTCATATAGGTGCACACCAATCACCATCTAATAGCTCTGAAACTCTTCAATGGAGAAATATCATGGGCAAGGATAAACATTGGAGTCGTAGAAAAAAGCAAAATTGAAAAAAAAAAATACATCTTGATCATGAAACATGCACTCTGTAGTTTTTATGGAATCACTCCCCTTTCTCTATGTGACTTCATATAGGTGCACACTAATCACCATCTAATGACACTGAAAGTCTTCAATGGAGAAATATCATGGGCAAGGATAAACATTGGAGTCGTTGAAAAAAAGTAAAATTGAAAAAAAAATACCTCTTGATCATGAAACATGCACTCTCTAGGTTTTATGGAATCACTCTCATTTCTCTATGGGACTTCATATAGATGCGCACCAATTGCAGTCTAATAGCTCTGCAAGTCTTCAATGGATAAATATACTGGACAAGGATAAACATTGGAGCTGCAACAGTTGTATGTTAGTATACATATCTTTGTCATTTTCTCAATAATCCTGGGTATGATCATTCTTATGCTGGTTGTGTGATAAGTGCATGTCTGGAGTTTCGCAAACACTTTGAAGCAATAATGTCCTTTAAGTTTTTTATTCCTAGATCAGAGAATAAGTGTGTTCATGTGCTAACACGAACTGCTCATTCACAAACTGGTCTTTCTAGTTGGATTTCTACTATTCCCTCGTGTATTGATCGTTTTGATTTAATAAGAATTCCACCTTTCCTTTAAAAAAAAAAAAAAACTACTCAATATAAATGAATGAATAAATGAATATAAGGAAAAAATATTATCAATTAATATATTTACCAATTAGGTTAATACGTGAATATGGAAACACTATTATCAATTAATAGATTTTAATTAATTTTTATTTTACATTTGGTTACCAAATAAGTTTTACTACCAAAGTTTGGACGGGAAAATGCAATAGGGGGATTTTACTATTATATATATATATATATATATATATATATATATATATATATATATATATATATATATATATAGTAAAAGACATTTTTGGTCCTAGACTTATAGTGGCACGAACAATTTTAGTCCTTTATAAAAAAATCAGACAATTTGTGGACACTCTTATTGTGACGAGGACAATTTTGGTCCTCCGTCTGAATTCATGTTAGATGGCCGTTTAAGATGGGGGTATTTGCGTCATTTCATGTTATTTGCTTCTTGCAGCCTTCTAGAGTGTCGTAAAAAACTACACCGTTTAAGACAAGCTCCATGAAAGCTGATTGCAGGTGCACTGCAGCAGGACTTCGATGAAGAAATAGTTGCATAGTTAAACTTTGGATGCCATACAGAGATACGGAAACAGCATGAAGTGCAAGCAGTCTCACAGAATTGGCTGTTCATCTGTCTCTCGATACACCCTCTTAAGCAGACTATACTTTTTACACAAGATTTGACAGAGGAGCAGATACTCATGTTGGCATATCTCCACAAATCTGCAATAATTTATTTTGAATCATCCAGCACGTCATAGTAGAACTCACAATGGTTGATTGGCTTTTAGTACGAATGCAAAGTATTGTATAACCTGCAAACACACATTAGAAATTAGACCAAATTCGGAAAATTATGCATCTCAAAAGCCATTCCTCTTACAATTAATATAATTTGCTTGAACCCTGCCAGCTCTAGAGTAAAAATCTTCTTTCTTCACCCATCCACCCCCCCCCCCCCACCCCACCCCGCCCCCGCCATTGCCATTATACATCTTTACCTAATTTTTAAATGCATCATATATACATCTTTACCCAATTATTAAATGCATCATGTATACATCTTTACCCAATTTTTAAATGCACCATGACCATCTATGAAGAAAACCAGCAAAACACTTATAAAACCCTTAAGAACAGAATCACAATTACCACCTAAATGACATCCATTTAAGGTATTATTATATCTTTTTTAAAGATCATCAACTGAAACCAACCACTCAACTCATTGCATTCAATTAATAACAATAATAAACAGACAGAATCTTCAAATATATATATATATATATATATATATATATATATATATATATATATAAAAGACAAATGGGCATCACAGAAACACACAATTAAAGAGGATTACGTGAAAAATAAAATCAACTGAAGCTCCAAAAAGATATGCATTAGACACAGAACAAGAAGACATACCCGGGAAGAAAAGAAATGAATGTAGATCAGTAATAGAATGTCGGAAACACATGCCAATTTGCAGACATAACCGTGGCTGAAAAACCCCGCGGATTTCGTCTAGGTTTTCTTCGCCGGCGACAGCGCCAACACCACTATTGCACACAACATGATGGTGAGAGCTGCCGACGGCGAAGCCTGCGGGGATGATATTGCTGCATCCATTTTTCGGGAATCACAAGAAGAACAGATTCTGGGAATACAAACACGATCAGTCCTGAGGACCCATTGTTTAATCCCGCAAGCTCGTTTCTTTCATCAATCAACTTTAATCTTACTGTTTTGAGAAGGATGTATGCTGAAAAGACACAAATACCCCTCTCAAACTGAGCATTTAACGGGAAGAGTGACGGAGGACCAAAATTGTCCTCGTCACAATAAGAGTGTCCACAAATTGTCTGATTTTTTTATAAAGGACTAAAATTGTCTGTGCCACTATAAGTTTAGGACCAAAAATGTCTTTTACTCTCTCTCTCTCTCTCTCTCTATATATATATATATATATATATATATATATATATATTCGATAATATTAAAAGAGTTTGAACCTATCAAAAATCTTCTATTATACATCTATAAATAAAAGCTCTCATTTCTATATAATCACACACTCTGGGAATAATCATGTAAACATTCTAAAAATATTATTCAGAGATCACGATAAATATGTGATCCTGAGAGTAAAAGCACATCCTCCATGATGATCATGCCTGTTCATCCAAACCAAACCACCATTGAAGATTAAGCCATTTGAACCCGAAGGTCATTCAATGAAGAACAAGCTATATATACAAGCCCTTCTTTGAAGATCAAGCAACTTGAATTTCGGAGGCCCTTCAGTGGTGGAGTGTTCAAGGCATCCAATTGGAGAATTGGAAGATCATCCAGACACTTGTATCCACACCGCATTGATATAGGGTCGTTCCAATAAAAATTGGGATCCTGTGCAATATTTTATTTTGGACCCCTTTTTCAACTACTGTCTATATATAAATAATAGTTGTTCAAAAAGTTGCATCAAATATTCAAAATATAAATTCTCACTTGTTCTATGAAATGCCAAGTTATATTTAGAAAGATACTCAATTATTAATAAATCTCTTTTAGGACCATCTTTCATAAGAATATCTATTAATTTAAAATCAAGGCTTCACAATTTCTTGGATTGTATATGTCAAGTAAAAGCAAATCATTTAGTTTATCATTGTGACCAACATCATTATTTAATCAACTACCAGCATTCTTATTATTTTCATTGTCAGATTGATACTTATCATCGTTGGGCACACTATCATTTAAATTATTTTCAATCTCACAATCATTTTGATCTTCTATATGAAGATTATCACCTAACGATTTTTCCTTTGCATCATATTTTTGCTCATCTATTTGAGTTTATTTTGTAATGAATTTTTCGAGAGCTTCCTTTTGAGATTGAGTTAGTTGCTCAATTCATCTTCTTCTTTTTTACACTTCTCAAATCCAGATGAATATTTTCTAGAAGACATAATTATAAAATCCTAAGAAAAAAAAGAATTTATATAGAAACTCTATGAATAAATAATTAATCAAGAAACAAAGTCTTGAATATATTACTCTAAAATCAAAATTATAAAGTCACATAAATAAAACAATAAACAATAATATAATTGTGAAATAATTCGTAATTTTAATTACCTGTTAAGAGAATTGAAGAACTTGAGAATTTGTGTGATAAAAAAATTGAAGAATCTCGAATTATCCCACGACTGAATTATCTCAAATTCCTATTGTTGATGTTGAATTGTTGATCAATGATCAAACATTCAGTTGATTCAACTACAGAATAATCTTGTTATCTTGAATTCTTTGAAACTGTAGTGCTGAGCGATGGTTAAATCAAGCCACATGATCTTCTAACTCATAAAGGCAGAAGGAAAAAAACCTATTCTAGAGTTCTAGCCTACTTTGAAGTCTAAATATACTATCTATAATATTATTTTTTTAAAATTTTTGGGGCCCTGTGCAAAGATGCCCCGGGACAGCCCTAGGGATACTTGACATGTAACTAGAATTTTAAATTCAAATATATATAATTCAATTTTCTTTGTTCACAAATTGGCACGCCCAATGGGAAAGGTCTACCTCTCATCTCTTCATAGGCACTTTCAATCAATATGGGTATGAAATTTGAAATGGAGAAAGATAAATGATACACCTTGGCACGAGTTAAAACAGCCTCATTTCCCAGAAGGAACGGCCTCATATCCCTTACATTAAATCTCCTTGGCACGAGTAAAAACAACATCATATCTTTCAAGATACTCCTTGACACGAGTAAAAAGGGCATCATATCTTTCAAGATACTCCTTAGCACGAGTTGAAACAGCCTTATATCTTTAAGTTGTAGTGTCGAGACTTCCTTGCACTACATACCTTTGAGTGGTATATGCTCTCAAGTGGTGTACAAGCAAGTCTCGAGGAGGCATTTGTTGATACTGAAATTTTGATAAATATTGATTATTTTTAATACTAATATATTTGAATATATTTTGGATAATATTGATATTATCTAATTTCTTTAATTAGATAATATCAAAAGAGTTTGAACCTATCAAAACTCTTCTATCATATGGCTATTCTAGAAAAGCTCTTCAAACAAGTTCATCTAAAAGCTTTTCAAAACCAGCGTGTGGTTGTGAAGTATTTCAAAGAAGCTCATCCAGATTTCATACTTCAATCCTTAAGACGTCAAGACTTCAAGGAGTTGAAAAACCTTCCAAGTAGTTGTCCGACTTAGTGGTCAAGGAAGCTAGCTTGAGTTGTACTAGGAGTGATAGTGCAAACCCTTTCACAATTTGTGAAAGGAGAGTGGAGTGGGCTTTGTTAATACTAACCAAACCATAAGCTTTTATAACGAAACTGTGCAAAGTTCATCTTAAAACCAAATATACAATTTCCGTTGTGCATAACTTCGAAAGGAGTCAATCTGAAAAATCAATTAGACTCTATTCACCCCACCCCCCTCTAGACTCTCTTTCGACCTGACCCTACCGGGACCAACAAAAAACCATAATAATAATAATAATAATAATAATAATAATAATAATAATAATAATAATAATAATAATAATATAACAATAATAACAATAATAATAACATGAATACTAATAGACCACAATAATAATAATAATAATAATAATAATAACAACAAAAACAACAACAACGACGACGACAACAACAACGACAACAATGACGAAGACAACAATAACAACAACAACAACGACAACGACGACGACGACGACAACAACAACAACAACAACAATATAAATGGAATGGTCAACCAAAGACCCCCAAATTTGTCTTCAATCCATCCATCCATTTCCAGAAGCTTTAATTCACTGCTTCTTCTCTGCGATTTCCATCTCCTCACTTCGAATCTCAACCATTTTAACTCGCATACTACTTAGTCTACTACATCTCAAATACAGCTTGCATACTATTTCTCAATTGCTTCTACGTATGAATGGATGGATTAGGTTAAATGATTTTGTTTAATCTCTATTTCAAACTTCGATTTCATAGAAGTTTCATTCAATTTCTAGCTTCAATCTGTCATTTAAGGTAACTTTCATACTTGATAAGAGTCTAAAAGATTATAATTTCACCTTACATTTAAGCTTATTTTCCTTGTTATTTGTTATATTTTTGCCCAAAGTATCCTCATTTGATTCATTTGTGTGTTTATGTGTAATTCTTGATGATTTAGATGAATTGAGTGATTTTTGGGGCATTTTGGATGCTTGTAGAGTCAATGGGAGTCAATGAAAAGCTATGAAGATGGAGAAACACCTTTTAGTGAGCCAAATTATGGTGTGTTTATTGGTCTTGGTCATTTGGACAAACATAGGCAAAAGCGGAGCAAAAGAGCAAGAAGTTGAAATTCCCGCACAAATCGTCCACTGCTCGATTTTTTGATCATATCTCTGCGTAGGAATGTCCAAACCAAGTAAATTTTATATCATTGGAAAGCTAACTTGAAGAGCTACAACTTTGATGAAGACAACAAATGATAATTCAAAGTTTTTGAGGGTGAAAACTGGCCTAGAAGACGACCTTAGTGCACTGGTAGTGCACACTGGCCGTGGCCACACCCGTGGCCTCTGGGCAGTGGGCCCTGCATTTCTGGCCACAGGTGTGGCCAAGGGCGTGGCCACACCCGTGGCCAGCCCTCTGCAACTTTTTGCAGCGCGTTTTGACTCCTTTTAAGAGGATTCTTCCACCCCAAAACAAATCTTTCATTACTTTTTCATTTCTCTTTCACTCCATAGCTAGGGTTAACTTTAGAATAGCTTAGATTAGTGTAGATTTGTGTCTCCTTTCCATTTCCAAGCTCAAGAACATTGCAAATCTTGGATTTCAAAGCTTCAATAGAGAAGTTTTCTTATTATCTCTTCTCTTTACTTTTCATCTATGCTTTCAATTACATCTTTAATATTTTGTATCTATTGTTAGATTATGAGTAGCTAAGTGTTTTAGGACTTGGATTTGGTTTGATTTCTTGCTATTGATTCCTATTAGAGTTGTATTGCATAAAGGGGATTATTTGGGTGCTCTAGGGTTAGTTGTGTGATTTGGGTTTGTTGTGAATTTGTGTATAATTGTTGGATCTAAATTATATGCTTGATTTGGAGTGTGTTTGTTGCTACGAGAGTAGAGCTTGTACACTAGCCACACATTCACACACTTATTGCCCAATACGAGAGTATTTTGGGTATTAAGGAGAGTTTATGACTTGTGTTCTTGCTTGGGCAACCTTGAGTTGAATTGCCACGAGAGTGGAGTTTAAGGTGAGGTTGCAAGTCCAAATAGCTACGAGAGTGGTATTTGGACACTTTTGTGCATCTCACTTACCCTATGCTTTGTTTTAATTCCCCAATCCTTAGTACAATATTTGGCATCTTAGCTTGAATCAACCAAATCCCGGTCCTTTTTTTTACTTGTTCTATTTGTTATTAGCTTGTTCGTATCAAACCATCTCCTTATCGATAGGTCTAGCTTCTAAAAGAATTGTTCTAGCTTGGTCTTAACTCCACTTTGCATCAATTCCTAACATTATAAGAGCCATCTCCAGTGGAACAATATCTAAACTCTATACTGTGATTTGATACTTGATGGATGTGTGAAAACTGTCCTCATCAAATTTGGCGTCGTTGCCGAGGATGGCTTGGTTTTGATTGTTTTGTGTTAGTTAACATTGGTGAATGACTATTCTAGGAGACTAGACCATTTTTTCTATATTTTTATTTTCTTTTTATTTGCCTTATGTGCTCAAGTGCTAATTGCTCAAATATGTATGGGTATGAGTTTCAAGGATCCTTACCACCATTCCAAATTTCTCCCCATGGATATGAATTGAATTGGAATATGAGCCAAACATATGGAGGAATTGAACAACAAGAACCACATCTCAATCTTGCCTACATGAGTCAAGAACCTTTTCAAGGAGGCACACCATCATTTACAATGCCACAACCTTTATGGTGTACCATTTGTGGAGGAGCACATGATGCCGAAAGTTGCTATATATTGGCTCCTAACTACCAACATTTGTGCCAATTTCAAGAGCCCTCTTACCAAGAGCCTCAACAAGGATTTCAATCCCTTGATCAAGAGCCCGAGATGATATCCAAGTTGATGAGTTTGATAATGGAAACGTCTTCACGAGTGGATGAGTTACAAACTCAATCGGAAAACATGATGGCTCAAGTACAAAGTTGGGCAACTCAAGAGCCGATTCAAGATTCATTGTCCAACGAAGAGGTTCAACAAGAGTTTCCCTTATCTAATGAATGGAATGAGGTTGATGGCGATGAGAATGTAAGGAAAAATCTTGAAAATGAAGTGCTTAAGGAGTGTCTTGAATCCAATCATTTGAATGAAGAAGATGACAAGATTGAGACTCAAATTGAGATTGAAGATAATGGTGCCAAGGAACCTTTGCAATATGACCCGTTTGAAGAAGAACAAGAAGTTAATGAGAGTGAAGTTGATAACATGCAAGATGAATTTGATGAATGCTCTCCCATGGATGATACTCTCATTAGTGAAGGCTTTAGAAGAGTGTCGGAACCGGGAGGAGTTGATGTTCTTAAAAGTGGAGGCCCGCATTGGCCTATATTTGAATCAAAGGATTCTCACTTCTTATTGGTGCATGAGAAAGATCCAAGACTCTCCTTATTTGCAAATGAAAAGGAAAGTCAAGAAGAGAAAAGAAGTGGAGACCAAGGAAATGATCAAGCTCTTGAGTATTATCAAGACCCAATCTTTAAGAAGAAGACCTCATTTGATTTATGGATCAAAAATGGATTTGAGGAAGGGATATTCTTGGAGTTTGATTTGGACGAGCTGAGTGTCTTAAACTTTCACGTGGTGAAGATGAGCTTAAGGGAATTTATTGATGGCCACCACTTGAAGAAATACCTAGAAGAAAAGGTTTATAGAAAGATGAGAATTTTTCTCCTCCAATCCATTGATGGTTGAACACTTGAGAGGTTGAGTCGAGCTAGCCATGTTATCTTTTACTTTATTGAATTTTATTTTATTTTTTTTCTTTATATTTTGAATGTTGATATATTATGTTTTCTCTTGTGCTTTCATGTGTGTTGAGATTAACAAGAACAATAAAAATAATAATAATGGCAGAAAAGGTAAAGAAGGCAAGATTTACGTGGTTCGGCAAAGTGCCTACATCCACGGGAGTGAAACAATACTCTTATTATTTGTGATGGTGATAGTGGTGACACAATCCCTTAGAGATATAACCAATATATTTATAGGCATCTAATCCCTATACAATAGGTCTACCCGTTTCACTCTTACTCCTAGTATGAGACAAACACTTATTCCTAATCCATATATGAGACAAACTCAACAATCTCCACCTTGGCGAATATGTTCTTTAGGAGAAAAGATAACTCAACAAATCTCCACCTTGACGAATATGCTCTTTAGGAGAAAAGACTTATCTCACCATCTCCACCTTCACATATATGCCCTTTAGGAGAAAAGACTATCTCCACCTTCGCAAATATGTCCTTTAGGAGAAAAAGATAACTCAACAAATCTCCACCTTAGCAAAAATGTCCCTTAGGAGAAAAGACTTATCTCAACATCTCCACCTTCACAATTATGCCCCTTAGGAGAAAAAAACTTATCTCACATATACACATGGGTAGGAACAACCATGCTCATCCCAACTAGCCAGCCACATGCATACGCAGCATCAAACGTTACCCAGTGCATGTACACGAACCGCTTTGTTTCAAGCCATTCGCCCCTCAGCCGTCGACCTGTTATACCGCCG